ACACACACACACACACACACACACACACACACAAACCGAATGAATCTTCCGCTACAAGATGGAAATATACACTACTTCACTCGTGTGCGTGTGTGTGTATGTCTGTGGGGTAGTGTATATTTCTATGTTGTAACGAAAGATTTATTCGCACGCGTTGTTACTTGTTGCATTGTCCATCCGTCTCTCTCTCTCTCTCTCTCTCTCTCTCTCTCTCTCTCTTTTTTGCATGAAGGGAGAGAAGAGACGCGCTAGTGTGCACGCTATTGCATACGAAGCGGGCCAGTGCGGACAAGGATTGATTGCCACTTAGCACGTAAACACGTACCCGCATGGTCCTATAGAGGTGACCTCTGATAGGGGGATGTCCAAAAATTCCAGATGCAATAATTGCATGTAGAGAACGTTCCTGATGAGGAATCGCGACAAAGTCTCAGCGTTGTTGCGCACCCCTATGACGAGGTGGAGGAGAACGAGGTGAGGAAGGAGTGAAGAGGAAATGGAGGGGGATAGCATTCTGACGCGTGCCTAAGGGAGAAGGGGAAAGGGGAAGGGAGGCGGAGAAGGGGTTTGGCAGAGGATAGTCTGCCAGCGATCTGCCATGTGCCAAAACCAAAACGAGGAAAATGACTACAAGGAGGAAGTAAAAAGAAAAAAAGAAAAAGGGAAGGGATGAGGCTAGAGGGACGTGGTGGGCCAAAGTACAAAGTGGAGGAGGAAGAGGAAAAGGGAGACAAGAAGAGAGAGGACGTGTAAGGACGAGGAGCGGTATGAGCAAAGAGGGACGCAACATAGAGGTGGAAGGTGGGAGAGGATACTAACACCCGCCTGTTTCAAGAAAAGAGGGGGGGAATCACGGCGAGACGGGAGGTCAAGTACTGAAAGAGGAGGTGGCAAGGCGGAATTGCGATAGGCAGGCGATCAGGCACGCTTCGCTGCTAAACTCAACCGGTCGGGGAGGGGCGGGGGGCGGAGGGGAGGGGGATGAGGAGGAGGAGAGAGGAAAGATAAGGCGGCGGAATAGGAGCATAAAACGGCGCAAGCCGCGGGTCTAAAACCGCACGAGTGCCCTGCCCACTTCGTAGCAAACTGCTGAGGAAGAGGAGCGGCTTGCGGAGGAAGACAGGAGGGGAGCCGAGACATTGGAGACGGGAAGAAGTGAGACAGGCGGGCAAGTTGGCACGCTCGGCCAGGCAACGAGGAGAGGAGGACGAAAGCAGGGGAAGAACGAGCAAGGGCGGAAAGTGGGGAAGACAGGGGGAGAAGGCCAGGAGAGAACGAAATCAGGCAGGATTAGGGAGGGCTCTCTCTCTCTCTCTCTCTCTCTCTCTCTCTCTCTCTCTCTCTCTCTCTCTCTCTCTCTCTCTCTCTTTCAGACACACACACACACACACACACACACACACACACATGCACACGCACAAACCGATTGAATCTTCCGCTACAACATGGAAATATACACTACTACACTTGTGTGCGTGTGTGCATGTGTGTCTGTGGGGTAGTGTATATTTCGATGTTGTAACGAAAGATTCGTTAGTTGTTGCATTGTTCACGCTCTTTCTCTCTTTTTTTTTTTTTTTTTTTTT